GTGCTGTGGCGTACTTGACTCGTGTACGATGTAAGCTTGTAGGGCCCGTGTTGTGACAGATTAGAAACCGGGACATAAAGGTACCTCCAATGACTTGTGTTCACTGTTTTTCCTTTTGTCCTTAGCAAACACTGTACCATGTAGTTGGAGACGATCACCACAAGTGTAAAAATAGGAATTCATGTTTCTCTGTGTTCAACTATCTGCGATGCATCTTTCTTGGTTGGTGAATCTTGAACATGTTAAATAGTTTGATCTCCCTCCGTTGTCAATTGTCTAACGGTGCTTATGTCGGACCTGTGGGCCGTGATTGTTAATTTGTGTTACTACAATTACTTGATGTGTCAATATAGACCATCCTCCCAGATTAACTCTCCAGACCGTATTCTGTCTAAACACCCGAACAACTCACTTAGATTTTATCACAGAGTGTGGACTAGCATACATGGAGGTGGATGGGTTCTACGACAGCTTAGAAGAAATTTCCGGCATCAGAAAGACTTTGACTTACTCTCTGCTTATCGCCAACCAGTTCAGGATAACTGATAATCACATTCCCCCCTATACTTAGGCTTATGGAGGCTATTCACGGTTAATGGAAAATACGTCATAGGAACCTTACTCTCAGACCAAACTTATCGCACTACATTTTGCATCTCAGCCCTGTACGTGTCTTATGGTCCACGCGCAAATCGGGTCCATGCTGTGTATGTTAGCCCAGTTCTGGAACCTGACTATTTGCGTGTCATATAAGTAGGCTGATCATCTTGGGGTGTCAATTTCCAAACACCGATTTTCGCAATTTGGCCTTGTAATGAGCTCAAACTTCAAAAGACATAGCCAATGAACGGCCTAGTAAGCCCAAAGCTCTTAGCTCCGAGAGAGGGTTGGCAAAGATGGTTCTAAGGAGGTGTTGTGCAATTCCCTCAACGGAATCCTTATAACTTCATTGAAGACTTTAAAGATCACAAGATCAAAGAAAGTGTACGTATGTGGTCAAAGTGTATCAAAAGTAACACCACTATCTGAGAATGGTCTTTTTGTTATTAACTCATACGATTTTAGAATTTAAAGTACGGACTCTTCATGAACCCTCCCCCTCTCTCTGTCTCCTTGCTAAAAAGTCAATCTCGTGGTCCAAAATTCTGCTTTTACTATGATTTGGAGACCTGAAGGTGTGTAAGCAGCAAGTTGCGAACCGAAAAGCAAAAGCCAAGCTGAACCACACGGAAATTTTCTGTTAAAGCCTCGTCTGAACAACGGTTAAAATGCAAAGCGTGTACTAAACAAATCCTCCAAAATCGCTCATTGGCTAATGGGGCTACTGATATCAGAAAATGAGGGGCCACGCATCGGAATATCACGAATTTGTAAAAAAAGAGGTCATTCATTTTTTTTGGTGCGATGGCAATACTGCAATTGTAGATCAGTAATCAAAACAGTTCAAGCACATCGAACCACGGGATGAGAGAAAACACGCAAGACATTTAGTGCCGATGACGTCTGTACACACAGTTTTGCAGAAGTACCCAAGGTAAAGAACAAAAAAAAATTTCGCACCCTTTAATGTGTGTGACCTTCTGCTTATTATATAAGTACGCGATGAGTTCCTCTTACAAACATCATCCTTTGAGATTACCGTCTGTTGTAGATCAGCGAACTGTCAAGTCTTCCTTTTAAATACTAAGATGTTCAGAATTAACTCTATCAGACTCATCAATACTTCTTCGAGAGCTGCAGCCATTGCATTGGAGAATGTCACCACAACTTCAGCTAAGGAGGCTGCAACTGGTAACTCCTTCAAATCCTTTGCCGAGTATAGAAAAGCTGCTATCTATAACGGACCATTGAAGAAGAGTATGCTATTGAGATCTCATGGTGAATTTAAGCCAGCAACTCCAGAGGACAGGGAGTTGTTTGCGCAAGAGGCTGCTAGACACAGTGCCTACAAGGAGAGTATCTGAAGAAGAGCCTCCTCCTTGTCGCCATGTAGAAGGACACACCTCTTCATTTTTGAATTTTAATCAGCTGGACTGATTTTACATATATACACACGCAAACATTGGGTAAAAAGCTCTTTTAGTGAGCTTTATTGGAATTTACATATATACCTACTTACAGAATTGAAGGATACCTTCGGTTCTTATGGTACGTGCCATAAATCAATCAAGATTTTATCAAGATATTCGGCGTAGTTCTCATGACTAGTATATAATGACGAGGTAGTGAAAATGATACACATTTTCTCGTACTCTCCGGATGGTGTATTTTCTGT